CATGCCGGGCCATTTATTAATTATAGTGGGATTTTATTTGTTACTTCAACTGGTAAACATCAGTTCGTTATAAACCAGAAGTCAAAACAGAATATCAAACTTTTCTTCTGTTTCTGTCTTTCATTATTCTTTGTTTTAATAAAGGTCTTTAATCGTACATGATTAATTTGGATTCAACTAAAACCCAGTTTTTTATATTATTATTTTTCCTTCGAGGAATGGAGTTTCAAAAAAACCATGCACTGTGTTTCATCTAACAGTCATTTATATATTTTTGTTTTGTTCTCAACTTCTGCAGCGGACTGTTCAGAAAGGAGCAAAATACGTTTGTCTTGGAAACAGGGAGTGCCCTGTGGACAAACGTCGCCGGAACCGCTGTCAGTTTTGTCGCTTCCAGAAGTGTTTGGCTGTAGGAATGGTGAAAGAAGGTAAGTTAATATTATGTCAATAGAAGAAAACGTTTAATGGGGAAGTTTTTCATTCGTTGAAACGATGACAAATTCACGAAACAGCGTGAAATTGTACGTAATGGATTCAGTGTAACTTCACCATAGCACACACACCTTTGCTACTTTTGGCTACAGGCAGACAGTACTCCTACGTGAGATGTAAGACTCCAAGTGTTGACATTTTCGGGGAACTAATAACACCAAAAGTAGAAAGTTCATTTTTTAAGAGTTTCATTCAAGAACGAACAAACAATTAAAACAAAACTATCCTATGTAGCTCACGGAAAGATAGCAAGGAAGTAGTTTGGAACCCTTCTTTATTTATGTGAGTCCCCTGGGGGCTCAGCATTAAATTTGTGGGCTTAAAAAGGTAAAAATCTAGTTTTCATACCTTCGGTGGGCAGAGCACAGATAGCCCATTCTGTAGCTCTGTGCTTAACAACAAACAAACAACTATACGAAAACCACAAAAAAGACTAACTTCATGGTAAAGGAAACGTTGGGTTAAATTTACGGTAGGCGTGTTTCCATGCAAAGAGGTAACACAGTGATCATTACACTATTCCTAAATGTTAAACATATTATACAGCTAAGTGATAATCAGCTTTTCATGTCATTCAGAGTCTTCCCCAACACATACATACCAGGCAAAAGAAAATTAGCATAGTATTTTTCTCCGTACTTCAATACTTTCATATTTTTGTTGCATAAACTATACTTCTTATATGAGCTTATATCTAAGAATGGTAGATATATAGTGTTAGATAGATAGATATACGCACGTATACATGATGAAAGTCTTCACTGAAATCTGATATGCTAAAAAAATAAATGTAAATCCCGATCTATCGTTCGATGACAAATGATAAACTGAATGATAGATTAGGCTTTAGATTTATTTGTTAGTATTTGAAACAGTTTTATTGGCTAAATAATTCACAAGAAAAATAGAAGTTAACATCATCAGTGCTGCATGTTCTTGAAATTTCTGTTTAAATATAGAATTAATATGCGAGTAAAATACATATGGAAATCTAAGAAAGTTCTTGAATGATTATATATTATACCGAACAATTATAATGGTATAATTAATTACATACTGATTCTGTCATACACTTTAACATTTATTAACGACATATGTTAATCTACTCACAACCAGAAGCTCACTTTTATTTTATTTTTATCTTTTTAGTTGTAAGAACGGATAATCTAAAAGGTCGGCGTGGTCGCCTGCCTTCTAAGCCTAAATCTCCACAGGAGTCGCCACCATCCCCACCTGTCAGTCTGATCACTGCACTGGTTCGGGCACATGTGGACACAACTCCTGATATTGCCAATCTTGATCATTCAATGGTAAAATCTTACAGATACATTGTTTTATTTTAAAAATTCAGTCTTTATAAACATCTCTTTATTTATGCACACGTTCTGTAGATTTGATACAAAAGCAATAAACAACTAAATAGTACTGTTAGTTTGCTAAAATCAGTCACTAGATACGATATTTACTGAAGCTCATCCTTATCAACAATAAGAACTGATGAATCTTTTTAATACTGACTTATATATATATATATTTTTTTATAGTTTCGGGAACCTTTTGAAGCCGATAGCCAGTCAACAGATGCTTACAAAGTGCAACAGTTTTACAACCTGTTGATATCATCGCTTGATGTTATTCGCATGTTTGCTGAAAAGATACCTGGGTTCACAGATTTAGACATAAGTGACCAGGAGTTGTTGTTCAAATCAGCGAGTCTGGAATTGTTCGCCTTGAGGATAGCTTACAGGTATTAATTTTGAGACGTGCAAATAAATATTCATAAATAAGTTACTTAATAATTACCTGTTGAACCGACAGATGGCTGCACCCTCCATTTTGAGATGTACAAATGAATACTCATAATCAAGTTATTTAGTAATTACCTGTTGGACCGACAGATGGCTGCACCCTCCATTTTGAGATGTACAAATGAATACTCATAATCAAGTTATTTAATAATTACCTGTTGAACCGACAGAGGACTGCACCATCTGGAAATTGAATGAATTTTTGTGATGTTTAGAAAAAGTTTGTCTTATACCAAATTTTAATTGTGTGAGAATTTGGAGTGTTTTTGTAAAAAAAAAAAATACCTGAAAATAAATGCTTCAATTTTACTTAAAGGATTTGGGATTTTATAAAAACTTTTTTTCAATCTATTTTAATTATATGGTTTTATTCATAACAAAATGAACCTGCAGTATTGTTTTTTTAAAGGGATACTACTGTATAAGAACTGATGCAACTAAAATAATTAATATTATTACTGTAAGCAAATTTTTATTTTCACATTCAAATATTTATTACAATAGTAAAGTTGATACAATAACATTTTGTTAATTTAATCGATTTTGTTTGACCAATCCATAAAACCAGGTAACAGATGAAATTCCTAAAATACGCACTGTTTTTTAAGTACCAGATATGAGAACCTCTTTTTTTAAGATATTTAGATGATAATTTTGTTTTTAGACATGCATTTGTATGTAAACAAATTGAATTACAATAATATATGAATCATTTATATTCAGATCAAAGCCGGAAGATGAAAAGCTTACGTTTTGTAATGGTACGACCCTCCACATGGAACAGTGTCGTCGGGGTTTCGGGGATTGGCTCTCGGCTATCATGGATTTTTCCCAAACTCTCTACAACATGCAGCTTGATATTTCTGCTTTTGCCTGCTTATGTGCCTTGACTCTTATAACAGGTGGGCGGTATTTCTTAGCATTTTCAGTAATTTAAAAATATACTAAAATCTCATGGATCAGGAAATGGGGGGGGAGGGGGATTGGTGCACTCGATTTATACTGAAACCTCTTTCAAAAATCCACAAATAAGAATATACTAAAATCTCATGGATCAGGAAATGGGGTGGGGGTGGCATTGGTGCACTCGATTTATATTGAAATCTCTTTCAAAAATCCGCAAATATTACTATCATGAATCCAAACTAAAATATATGAGGTTTTCTTTGGGATTAATACAAAATCCATGATATTTGTACAACATATTAGTATGTAGATTATGCAAATGGTAATGTAACTGTAATTGAAATTTAATAACTACAAGTCCTCAGACACAGTTTTTATTAAAAGAAAGAACAATAGTTTCGTTAGTTTACATGAAGTTTCTATAATGGTGTTTTTAAATAGCAACGATCTAAATGTTATATTAATTTACATTAAAGATGTTTTCCCTGTAAACTGTTTAAAAATTACTCTTTCTTGGAAAGATTTTTTTATGCTTATAAGTGCAACCCAGATATAAGTATAATAAGAAGTATAACTAGTAAACAACAAATTTAACTGTACAAAGAACACTCTTCCACGAAAGTGATCATAATGCTGAAATGTTTTTATTTTGTCGGGCGGGTTCTTTTATTTGGTTAAAATAACTCGATGTGCAGTCATCGTAAGGATAACAAGTTAGTTTATTTCTTCCTTAACGTTTCTACACTTTACTTGACAAATGACGTTCAAATAAAAACAATCTCGCTAATGTCGGAATAGCACTAGACTAACGTAAAAATACACTTAATTGTAAAATTTTGCGCTTAATAGATCGAGTAATTGAACATACGTGATAACTAACACTGATTCAAATACTCATCTGAAACTAAACCTCCAATAAATGACCGGCACGTTTTCGACTGGAAACATTGTTTGTTTGTAATTAAGCACAAAGCTACACAATGGGCTATCTGTGCTCTGCCCACCACGGGTATCGAAACCCAGATTCTAGCGTTGTAAGTCCGCAGACGTACCGCTGTGCCACTGGGGGGCTCGACTGGAAACAACAGGGCCAATGTTTCACTGAACTAAAAGTAAAACGAACTGATTCTTTGCTCGCCGATCCTCTTATTTACAACACAACCTTGTTTGTAAATACTTTGCAAAATTACTAGATCTTCGTGACGTCATCTATAACATTCTAGGTCTACTCTAACAAACCTACTTCATCTTAACGTCACGCGCCGCCTAGCTAACATCCAAATAAAAACATTAAAAATATAGTTCACAACAATAAGGTAATTTGTTTTACAGAAGTTTGCATTATGAATGGGCTTATTTTCATTGTAATGGCAGTGTAAAGAGCTAGAAGTATGCCTTTAAGACACCTGAAAATGACCAGTTAGTTTCCCCAACCGGTTCTTTTCAATGAGCAAGTAAAATCCTTTTTTTTTGCTAAAATCCACTAAATATTTGCCTTTTATTGAACAGATTTAAGGTATTTTACAAATGAGAGATTCAAAATTTTAAGTCATTACCAAAAATTAATAAAACTTTTACCAGATGGTATCAAAATCATGACCCTAACCTTCTTGGTAAATGCTCTAAAGAGGTTTGTAAATCCTATTTATCTCCGTGCCAGACAATTTTTGTTTTCTTCTTGAATTTCACGTTTACCTATTCCAAATGTGAGGGATAACAAGTAATAATTAGTTATCATATTTTGTTCTATTAGAGAGACATGGACTCAAAGACCCTCAAAAAGTCGAACAACTCCAAATGAAAATCGTCAGCTCCTTGCGAGATCACGTGACCTACAACAGTGAAGCCCAGAAAAAGCCACATTACTTTTCACGGATCTTGGCTAAACTACCAGATCTTCGTACACTTAGCATCCAAGGGATTCAGCGTTTGTTTTATCTAAAGTTGGAAGAGTTAGTTCCGGTGCCTCCGCTTATAGCCAATATGTTTATGTCCAGTATACCTTTTTGAGCAACACAGCAAGAACCTTTAAATATATTCGGTGGAACATATTCTTCGGTGATCTCAGTGAAACAAGTTTCAAACATGTTTTACTAATGTTAACACATAAAGAAAGACATGTTATACATGAAGAAAAACCGGAATGGAACTGAAAGAAAGAGAAGAGTTTTTTATCGTATGAAAACAACAACAACAACAACAACAACAAACAAACAAAGATTACAGGAAGACGCTTAGGAGCATGTACAATCATACTGAAGGAGGAACGTTCATTTTAAATAGTAGAAAATAAGGCTTTAAAATCTTTATTAAAAAAACAAAAATTAGAAGAACAGGACATTTTACACGTAGTCAAATCGTCTTCCGAAGTGAATTTTATGAACGTTCTTCCTTCGCAGACGTATTGGTCAAAGAGATAAAAATAAAAAGATTCTAGGGAAGAGGGCGCTTGAATTTCGCGGTCATTTTTTAGTCAATTTCTTTGACTAATCACCCTCGGATGTGCTTTTTTAAAGTTGTGATCGACGTGCTAGTCATTTAAGTGAAGTGTAGTTAATCGTGCAGATAAGTCAAATGGTATTATGACAATTAAAAAGTTAACACGTACTGATAGTTTATTTTTCTTCTGTTTAACACGGTTTGATATATTTTTGGCTAGTGTTGAAAGCTTTCGTTTGAATGAAGGTACATACATACATAAAACACATACGCTAATATATATACAAAAATAATGAATGTTTGAAACATTTTAACATAATTTACATAAGTCTGACCGTAAATTATAAAAAGCAGTGTAACTATGTTGTTTTACTTCACAATAAAATAGCATAAAATACTGACATATTTAACAGTTTTAAATAAAGATAAGTGTTTAATAAATCCCACATACTCTCGACCCAAGGTGCTAATAATACTTAAAAGAACGCGCATAACCTGACAGGATTATGTGTGTTTTACTGGTGTGTATTACTTTCCCGTAGTGACTATTTTTTTTTTACTAGAGTATTGATCTATTTGCCTTTTGTTGACATTGTATAGTGTTGATTCTGTTTTAGATTTATTGTTGAATAGTTTGATTTTTGAAGTGTTTTGATGTAAAAATCGTTTATTTTAATGTATGTTTTATGTGACTGAATACAAATATTACGTGCGAAGCACAGAAACTGAAACATGGTCATTGAAACCACCAATCAACAAACACTGTTTCTCACGAGGTTCTAGTCTACGTCAGCTTGTCTTTTTTAAAATACAATTTAATTAATATTCAAAATTTTTCATATTTCATTTTCTATTTGAAACACTTTAAACAATATTTTTCTCGGACATAAGGATAGTAAAGTGTAATGCCATATTAATTATACATATATATATATATACATCCTTATTCGAGTTTTATCTTCACCATAGATACTTATACTTCTACATTCCGTGTAGAACTTTTTTCATTCGTCTCATATGTTTTATTGACAATCAGATCAGTAATGATTATTACTTATCTCGATATATCCTAATTCAAGTTCTCTAAACTTCTTTCATCGGTAATAATGAGTTCACTGCATGAAGAACACTAGATAATTTCCCAGATTTTCATTCGACTCAACTGAACACACATATATGTATATTTAGATTTTTTGAAAATAATATTTATCAATATCTCATATATACATGAAGCCTATATCATAATTGGCTTAGAAAAATATTTCGGTTTGACGTTTCCAGTTTTCTACTTATCGTAAGCCTATGTACATTACCTTTAAAATATCAACCTATCATATTTAATATGGATCTAAGCTATAAAAGACACGTAGTTTGTGGCGTTTGAATAGTGTGAATACTTGATAATCCTCTTGGGAACACACTCGGTCCACATTTTACGAATTCTAGTATCACTCTTTGTTAAAATAAGTTTATTATATCTTCAAAAGCTTGCTTATTATTTTTTCCTCTTCTAAAAGAGTTTGTTCAATGGTATTTAATTGGACATATATAAGAAAAATATCATATCATAAGATTGTATATATATACTCTAATGTCTGTCTTATTGTCTATTGTTCTGTGTCAAACTGTATATTACGCAAAATCTTCAAGAAGAGTGCTGATTGTGAGGATTGCTTGTATGGAAAATATATTGTGTTATACCAATATTGTAGGTCTGAGGGTGCTTTCTTAATTTTTGTTTCCAATTTATAGATTAACTGGGAAGCTATAAAAAATATTTTAATTATTTATAACAGGTAAAATACATTTTATGCCATCATCGTGTTTTATTATGACATTAGTGGAAAGCTCATCGTTCATAAATTCTTTAATTATTGCTCCGTACAAAACTAGTGTGTAATACCGAGTAATTAAAGGAACAAAACAAATACAATTTGAGGATTAGAAATCTGTATTACTTTTCTTGGTGACTTCTTAGAGGAGTTAAAAACATCGGTAAAGATCAAGTTCAAGTACGGTGTGAAAGTGTAGAAAACAAAATGCAAAAGAAAAAATGATAGAAAAAAATCTCTAAAGAAATTTGTATTTATAACAGAGCTACTAAGGCTATCTGCTACTGTCCCTAATTTTGAATTACTGACCAGAGATAAGGCAGCCAGTCAGCAGCATCCTATCGCCCACCATCCATGCTAAGGGTTTGACTGTAACTGTTAAAATAGCCAACCAGTACTTATTTCATTAAATACGAATTTCTAATAAATCGACACTTAACACATCAATTATTCCACGAAAAAGTTAAGTGCTCACGTCGTACTCAGTTTTACATTTAAACAATAAATGCAAAAAAATCTAATTTGTGCAAACTACAAGTTAACTAAATATGAACGCCGTTAAAACTTTAAGCTGATGTGGTATTTTTAAAAATAATTTTAACAGTAAATACGAACAATATTCACGAGAGAAAGACCCCAAGTCCAGTGAAAAATAAATATCTGGTATTAAAACAAAGATACGTTAGAAGAAATTTTTTGATTGTTTTTGGTTTAATTGGTCTAGTTTTGTATGACAATTTTACACATATGTTACGCCCAATCTTAGGAATCGGTCATTCTCAGAAAAAAATTACTTTTTCGAACTTGAATCTGTAGAAATGATCAAAAACCGAAATACGATGTCATTTCTGTGTTCGTGCTAATTATTTTGCTCAAAATGAGAAACGTAAAATACCAAATAAGGAAATAACAAAACAAAAAATTAAACAGCTAATTCGATCTTTGTGTAAAACGATTAAAACAATTGTGAAATTAAAAATACGAAACAAACAAATAATGAAATATGAAACAGCTTTTCTTATTGGTCTTTGATAATTTCGACATGTTAAAATCGCCAAACGATTTTTTTTTATTGTGAATGATTGATTCCTTAGATTGTGCATATAGTAGTATATACTATTGTTCCTTTTGTCTAATTGGTTGTAAAATCACACATCATAGGTTTTCATTGGTCTTTATTTCTATCTTGCAGTTATAGTTTCTAACATATTTTCTAACAGCGCTAATTTTGAGAAAATAATGAATTAATCTATTATTCTTAATCAGCTATTAAATAATGAAACAAGATTGATATATATTTATTTGAGCCACATTTTACTAGTGCCATCTACTGTACAAAATATTACTTAGTTAAAAAGTAAAAAAAAATCTCGAAAAGAAGTCACATGCTTGTTACTGAACTCAAAAATAAAGTGCGTAATGTCATTTATAGGTGTAAACTTTTATTATTTTAAAACTTATGTATTTTATGATATACTTTACTAGTTAATTTAAAAGTTGCAAAAAATGGATCGAGTTGAAGTGTATGTGGTCAAGATTAATAAGTGATAAAATTTCATTAAAATTCTTATTAGTTTAATTCATAATAAAGAAAACCAATAGTTTTTAAGAACTTAAGATTTGCAGTCCACATTAAAGTTTTCTTATACGTATTGAAGATAAGGTTATAAAATTGATTTTTTTTTACGTTATCTCAATTTTTCTTAATCCCAGATATCGAATAAATAAAGACTTCTAATCGATATATGTCATAATAATCAGTAGGTAATTCACCACCGCTTGGCAGTCATTGGAAGTAGGCATAGCTATGGGATGTGCTATTTCACCACTACGTTTTGTTTTGACTATGGAGATAGTGATTAAATGAGAAGACCAATATATTTCTGGGATACCAGTTGGGGTAGATCAAGAACTACCATCACTGATGACATTCAAAGATGATATCACTATCATATAACCATGCAAGGAAGAGGTTGATGCAGTTCTGATAAGATCTGATGAGCTGATAATATGGTGTCGTATAGAATTTAAGCCTAAGGAAAGTAGAAGCTTGACCACTAGGAAAGGCCAGGTCACTTAAAGATCTTTATTGATAGCGAAAGGATTCCAACTTCGTCTGAACAACCTGTTAAGGGTTTGAGTAGGTGGCACTCTGTGCCCCTCAAAATTAACTTTATGAAGGACTGGAGACTATGAAAAATGTGGCCTACCTGGAAAATTTAAGGTGTGGTGTTTTTCAGTTTGGTCTCTTACAAAGGTCTACAGGTCTATAATATATTTTTATTACCGGGTTGAGGTTATGGAAAGAAAGATTAACACGTTCTCTGCCATGTGCCCCACCGGTGGGTCACAACCGACCTTTATTTGTGGACCACGTGACACACCAGTGAGTCATAGACAAATACGTTTCAAAGCCAAATTTCTCTCGTGCCATATGAGTTTGGGACACTGTGACTGCTCCTCGGCACATCTTGAATGGCAGTAGGGTAGGAATTATTAATACTACTGGTGGAAGCGAACGTGTTAATGGGAAATTTAGGAAATGTCTTGGGATCCCTAGGTGCGTCAATTCCAATGCGTTCTATGTAGGTACCTTTAAGCTGACACTTCCAATTTCATCGTTAGTGGAAGAATACAAAGTTGACAAGGGTAGGCTTTCCATGATGTTGAATGAATCAAAGGATAAGGCTATCAAACAATATTACCCTGACCTTAACATAGGTAAAAGTGGGATATGGGCACAAGGGTTGCAAATGTAGAAAGTAAGTTAGAGATTGTATGAGTTGTGCAAATGGACAGGAGAGGTTTAGATTGGGAAAATTAGGTGTAGTTTTCGAAAGGTATTATCGAAAAACATAGAAAATGATAACAGAGAAATTAAGTAAGATTGAAGATGAAAGAAGGATAGCACGATAGAGATGTTGGAAAGATGTTGCAGATCGCCAGTTGAAGTGAGTTGACATCTGGCAGATGGAGTCATCTTGGTTTAGATTATTGCTCAGAGCAGTGTATGACCTATTCCCTAGTCCAGTTTACTTAGTTAGGTGAAAAGTGAGTGAGGTTGAAAAGTGTACAGAGTGTTGTAATACATTCTTGCAGGATGTGGGCATAGACTCGATAGACACAATCAGGTCTTGAGGGTTTTAGATCATCACGCTGTTATGGCTTATCAGGACGTGAAGGAATATGTAATTGTAAAAGAAGGAACGATTTTGAGAAAGAGAAAAGGTATCAATTTACGATGGGGGTTTACATCTGATGTTAAATGGGAGGTATGCACTGATCTTACATCACAGTAAGGGTTTCCTCTTGATAATGAGTTAACTAGACAATGACGGGATATGATTATGTGAATCTCAGTGGTTAAGAAGGTGTTAATGTTTGTTTTATTATTTCGCGCAAAGCTACACTAGGGCTATCTGCGCTAGCCGTCCCTAATTTAGCAGTGTAAGACTAGAGGGAAGGCAGCTAGTCATCACCACCCACCGCCAACTCTTGGGCTACTCTTTTACCAACGAATAGTGGGATTGACCGTCACATTATAACGCCCCCACGGCTGAAAGGGCGAGCATGTTTGGTGGGATGGGGATGCGAACCCGCGACCCGCAGATTGCGAGTCTACCATAAGGCTGATTCAAGTTTTTTATTTCCTTTTGTGAATGCAACAAGCAAAGCGAACATAATAAATTGGCCCGGCATGGCCAGGTGGTTAGGAACGCTTATGCCGGGCTGTAAATATGCAAAAACGTGTTTGATCATTATGAGTTTGTGATATTTACTGTCATACTACTGACTGTCTGTTATTTGAGTAGGCCCAGTTAGAATCATGATACTTTTAAAATTTAATACCTAAAAGAATTGCGAGTTGTTCTGATATGAACCATAACTACAAAAGCTAGTTTAGAATACACTAACTTATTTTAATAAATCGGTAAGTTTTATAACTCTGCCAGTCCTTCAGTCATCTTAGCTGGAAAGATACGAAGAAAGCCCTAGTTAATAATATTGACTGAATATTATATGTGCCACTCTCATAAAAGTGTTTGTTTTGCAAGTAATATTTATGAAGTATGTCATCTTTTGTTTTATAGTTAGATTTTGTATAAGATCGTTTGTAACAGAGAAATTGTTTCGTCATCTTATCAACTGTAGGCTCGGCTTTCAATGTAATATTACAGTTTTATGCAGTAGCTAGATATCTTTTGATGTTCTTATGAGGACAAAGGTGGTGTAATCTATATAACATAATTTTTTGTAGAGTTTTACGTTTTAAGCAGACATCTTATTTTTCTCTCTTAACTGATTCTTGTGATTGGTGCATCAAAGTTATAGGTGGTGTAACTGCACCCCTGGTGTCTTCCACTGGTCCAGAGGATACGTGAAGGAGACTTACTTCTGTTTTGAACTATCCTTTTTTCATTCCAAGAATACATGTAGCAATTCTGCATTACTCTTAACTGTTCACAAGGCATAGAGAGATCGTTATACATGACCTCCTGTAGGTCATGCTCAAAATTCTTTATAAGATTTCTTTGTGGTCTTTCCACAGAAGAAGTCCTACATGTACTAGGCAGCATTGTAATCTGTCCATAGAACGTACGAGATTTCTGCATGTTATGCTTTATGATTTATATTCAATACCCCAATTGGCAATCACTGTCCACAGTATTATAGCCACTGTTCACAAGATAAGTCATATGTGAACTGCGCAATGTTGTATTCCATCCAAAAAATGTACATACAGTAGGAGTCCTGCACGTAGTGTTTAGTGCTATAAATATTACGAGTGAAATGCTTGGGAGTCGTTTGTATTCTGTGTAGGATGAATTTAGAGTTCTACACGGACTCTGGAAATATTTATTAAATGTACACTA